CGATGATTTGTTAAGTTTACCGCCTTGTCGTCTCTGTTTAGGAGCTTGACTCTGGTTAACAAACAAGTTCGAGAGATGCATTTTGTGCCCTAGTTTGTTATGACAAACCAAAAGTCATGCATTTCCCAAAAGGAAACTGCAATGGGGACTATTTTCACCACAAAACACATGACTGACTTTGTCTGTCATCCATGATAGTGTCTCTGCAGAGAGATGATATACGGTGAATGCAGTTTCTGGTTACATTTCTGAATCTACCAGTGGAGTGCATTGAGGGAAAATGTGTTTTAATGTACTCCAGACCCCCGTGTGGCGACACAGATAGGGATGGCATAATGGTTATCTCATCCCGTGCTGCCTGAGGGCTATAGAGCCACACACATCCAACGGTGATTTCCATACTTGGCCTTTACTCACTGAGGTTTCCCAAGGCATTTTTACATGTATTTATTATGCTCTGTAAATGTTGATAGACATAAGGGCTTTGAAAATGTGAACTGAGTTCTCTGAATAAACTAAGTGGTGAGATAGGACCCGCCCTCGCTTGGAAAGACTTTGCTGGAACAGTTTTCTTACTTCTCTTGTCCTCTTTTATTCTATCACAAGGTTTCTACTCTATGTTTGTTGCAGATGGTCAGCCAAAAAAGGAAACAAATCATTCATTTATTTATTCTTCCATCTGCTTTCTTTTTCAAATTCTTTTTATGTATTTATCTGATATAAAAGTATTTTTCTGTGTCTAACCACATTCTTGTGATGGTCTTTTTGCTAGTAATTACCAAGATTTTCAACAGATAAGAACCCTTTCTTTTAAATTACACCATTGTTAAGCAGGCCCAAGTCCTTGGTGAACTTATATCCCCACTTTAGCATTGTATACTACAACATAATCCATGTAAATGACTGATTGCCTTATTCCTTTTAGAACTATTCTCTTGTGTTAAACTCTCCGGATGTTCCGCACATCCTCCTTCTCTCTCTGTTGCAGTAGATACATGTCTTCAAGGTCAACATCCACACACACACACACACACACACACACACACACACACACACACACACTTTCTTATCACATTCCACCGAAATCTGCATGATGTGGTGAATTATGGGATGATCGTCTTCACATAGCTCAAGTGAAGGTGCTGCAGGAGAAACTCTGCTGAGGCAGACTTGGTCGAACAAAGAGGATTTTATAGTCAGCCAGGTCCGAGTCAGAAGTACGCCCGACGTCAGAGAAAACTCTGCCTACCCTTATATCATCCCATATCTGTGCTCTTGGTCTTATACCAGGTTATTTCCATCCAGGGGTGTAGTCAGGATGTAGTTAGTCCATAGCATGGACATTTACTCTTTGTCTTCTGTCAGGCCGTTTCCGTGCAGTTGGACTAAAATATATCTATACCATAAACATCCTCCCAACACCTTAGTGTTTATGCTCCACAAACAGAACAATCTGTGCTTAACTGTGATCTTCAGATACTACAATGAATTTGGAGCCGGCCTGTTCATGTCAGAAGTAACTGGCCAATAACACTTGGTTGCGTCCAGCTTTCCTACTGTATGGGGCAGGCCCAGCCCAGAAGAGAAATGTCCATCACACCCGGATTTCGGGGCTCTTGCCAACTGAGAACCTACGGAAAACCTTGTCTCTGAATGCCCAGCGCTGATTTACTTTGCTTTTGACCAATAAATTTCGTATTTGTACTCTTGATCTACTCTGGTTTATTCTCAGTCTTCCAACTAAAGGATCGGGCAAACAGATCTAATTTCCAAATAATGGGTTTCAGTTTGGGTTTGCGTTTACAATTGAGAGAGACCAATAATCCTGACCGAAACTGCACAGTCACTATCATACCATGATCTGTGACACCACAGCAGGGCCTGAAAGGGCAAACAGGAAAGGGAGGGAGGGCATCTGAAATATCAGTCACATTTACAAACATGTGGCACTGTTAGGTCAAATGACTGTAGAGGATTCCGATGAATTATTTACAATAATGGACTTTGGATTTTTATTTTTAGTAGTAGCACAAACTTCTACCAGCAGATGGTGTCCAACTCCAGCGAATAATAAACCACAGTGTCTTTTCACATGGATGTCCACAAACAGAGAATGTTTGAGAGCTTTTAAATGCAATCCCTTTTTGCAAGAAAAAGGTTGAAAAGTTCAAACTGAGTGTTTGCTAAACCTGCAAATATAATTCATGCTGATCCGCGCATGACAATCAAGAATTTGAATGATATCTAGCTAATCAAAATGATGAATTATCATAAAAGAATATAAAATATGAAATCTATGCATGAATCTATTTACTAACATCTGTTAATTTTGAAAAGCTTTATGAAGATTTGTGCTTCCCACACCAGTACAAAAACATAGCATACATTTAGCCAAAAAGGTTATTAATTCTATCTTGGCCTTCAGAACTGCTGATGTGTATCTGCTCCAGGAGAGACTCCACTGACACAGACTTAGTCAAACAAAGGAGGATTTTATTTTCAGCCAAGCCTGTATCAGGAACACAGACTGACTAACCAATTCAGGAAAGGCTACCTAAAACTGGATGCCTGCCATTTTACAGGGTTTCACGTGATGCAAACATCCATTGCATCTCTACAATGAAAGCAGCTTTTTCTTTTATAGATATAATGTTTGCACTTACTAAAGTCAGGTGCACAGCACTAAACAAGAAAAAATCTATCAGCACACATCTGAAACTTAGCTTATCCCCCCAAACCAATTACATAAAGCCACACAACTTCAGTAAACGATGAAAACAGAAGTGTATGTAGGAGCACAGATTAGTCTCTGTAGGGAAGTCGGTCCAACATGGGGGCATTTATCTATACTTAATATAAATGTTAATGTGTTTTCAAATAAGCATTAGTGAATGGGGAGTATGTTCTTAAATATTCACTGGTGTAACAAAAAATGGAGTCCCCCGGAGGTCTCCAAAACACACGCCATTCCACTCATAGTGTGCTTAAAACATTAATGGGTTTATCAATCACAAAAACACAGACACTTTGCTAATTCCATTAGACAGTGGTCAGATCTATTCGGACACACCTGTTTCTGGGGTGTCCTGTCCAGTGAGTATATAGACCGCAACCAAATGAATAAAGACCACTACAAAAGCTTATATATTGACAGCTATAGTTCCGTCTTCCTCTACCAAACACTGCTGCGGGACATAGTTAGCAGTCATATAATATTTGAACATATAATGTGCACTATACTGCGAAAAGTATTCGATCATTCCACAGTCAGAAGTATCATAACTAGGCAAAAGTGACCGGGAACCACGAAAACCCAGCCACAAAGTGTTCGGCCACGTAAACTGACAGAGTGGGGGGCAGTGGATGCTGAGGCGCATACTGTGAATGGGTCACAAACTTTCTGCCGTCAATCCCCACAGACATCAAAACATCAGATTAGCTCAACAACAGCACATGGAGAGCTTCTTTTAATGGGACTCTGAAAAGACACGGATGAGAGAGTTTGGTCCAACATCAGAGTATGACCTCAAAAATGCACTTTTGGAAGAAGAGTCAAAAAGTCCCATAAAGACATTCCAAAATATTGCGGTATGCTTTCACAGACAAGTTAAAGCTGTTAGTTGCAAACAGTGGACTAACATGAATTAAAAATGAGATGTCACTTAAGTTATATGCGAATAAAGGCAGGTGAGCGAATATTTTTATACAGTGTATATAAAGGCACATCTATATACAAATGCATTTAGTCATGTGTGAAGATGTGTCATTTTATTTATGGTTAATCATCATAACTTCAGTAATGTACTTTAGTACTCTGCACCTTAAGTAGGTCAGCGGGAAACAAATTCCACAGATAAGGCATTTTATGTTTTTATCAGCTATTATCAGTCAATCCAAAGATAAATCTTATCATATTTGTCCTAGTCCTCCGCTAACTGGAATCACAGTTCACAGACTTTTCCAACCTTGTCTAATGCACACTGTCAGCTGTTCTTGGTGTCAAAACAAAGCTCTACAGAAAGCATAGAGCTCTTTTCTAAGGAAATGTTTTCACTCTTACTCAGAAGTTTTGAGTTCCACGAACACAAACAACATGTAAAACAACATATTGTATTTCAACCAAGCCTGTATCAGAAATAGATGGATCTTATGTGGAGATCTCTCCATGGTCGAAAGTCGGAGAGGTCTACCTCAAACCGAAAACCTGCTCAGTGCAGGGTTTTACGTGATGCAAACATCTATAGCGTGTCCCCCTAAAAATAAGGTAGCATTTTATGAATAAAATGTCTTCTTGCTTGGATTGAGACTGTTCTGTCCTACATATCTGCTGACATGGCTATGAGGCAGATGTTTTTTCTCTGCATTCGGTACTTTTCCACCAAGGCCAGACACTACAGTTGCATAATCCCATTCACATTCTTTTATTGTAGTGTGTTTTTCAGATTAACATTAGAGCTTCACTCCCACCACCAGCTCCTTAATCATGCTGATATGCCAGGAGAATGAATGTGAGCTATATCAATAACTGCTGCAGTGGACAAGTGAATGCATTAGCACCCTCAGAAGTCCCAAGCTGCTTATCAATTAGCAAGCCGTGAGTTGGTGGGAATTATCAGCAAGAAAAGGTTACAACAAGCTAACAAGCAAGACTAGAGTTAGTCTGGACGGTATCTTGTCTCGCTGCTTTATCTATAAGCCAAATGCAAATTCACTGTTCTATTTGCTTAGGAAAGCGCGCTGGCTAATACAACAATCTATCAGGTATTTAGAATGTCCTCTCCAGTTAAGAACTGTTTCATTGTTTTCTCTCTTTTGTTTGTATTTGACATACATTTCTTTAAGATGTGATAAGCGAAGAACCTGAAACATAAGTGATCCACTCTGTGATTTACAGCCTTATTTTCATTTATTAGTCATGCTGCTGGCATGAGAACGCCCACAACACAGTTCCAGTGTTCTCTGTGGCAGCCTGGTTTGCTTCCACTCCTCCCTGACGTAGCATGGACTACAAGGACGGCTCCAGTTTCATTTTTGCTCTGCCCGCTGGTATCACAGCTCAGTCTTGTCTGGACAAGAGAAAACTGTGGAGTATTTGTCACTGCGTAACACACTGTCAAGACAGTGGATCAACAGCTGTGCAAAGAGAAGATGAGCCTCTGGCTGCTACTCATGCCCACAAGAGTCAAGTTAGCTCCGGTGATGAAGCCTTTCTTCTTTTCAGTGACTTCAGTGATGACGCTGGTGACGATCACACACACGTTGGCTGCATATTTTAAACAATGACAAACAGTTCCTTGCTTTTTTATTATCATAAAGCTATTATGAACTGTTATAATATCACAAGTGACTCACTGTGAGGCATTTTACGACTTCTACATCTTTTACATCTTCAACTTCCTTATGAGTTGTGAAAGGCTGTAAAGTAAGCAGTACAAAACATAGAAAACCACATTTGCCCATGACTGGGGTATTTCTTTTCTTTTCCTTTAATAAAGAAAACCATAAAGAGAAAGAGTGTCTCAGGTGTAAATATTAGAATAGGTTAATTTCCACTCCTAAAGGTCCAACAACTGTTCTCCCCAATTTCCAGAAGTTCACAAACTTTTGTTTGAAAAAGAAAGAAAGACCACTGTGGTAAACTCACTGAGGACACTGAACACATGCTTCAAGAATAATATGAGTTTCAGCATTAGTTTTCAAATGAAATAATGGATACTGGATTTGGAAAATTGCATTTTATTTTCGTTTACATTTCACACAATGTCCTAACTCTTTAGAAATGGGATGTAAATGAATGTCATACTTTTAAAATCGGAAGAACTTATTTCATTTATGTGCTTTTGTCCGTAAACTTTGCCTTTACATTTTTGTTCACTGATAAGCATTAAGAAATATCTGACACATACCGTGAGTCAGATATGACTAACAACTTCTGATTTATGCAAAAAGCCTTTAAATACATGAGCTGCACTGTGTTTTCATGTCTATTAAGGAACTGTTGACAGAATCCAGGCAACATAATAAACACTGAAAAAGAGGGAAGGCGTTATGTGCTGCGTAGTTCTTGTCCAAGCATAAATAAATACCAGGGCTTAATTTTCACCTTTGTTAAAGCTCAGCAGGTGCACAGCGCCTCGACCAACAAACCCCAAAGCCTTCTTACACGCACCTACACAGACCATGCAAAAGCCTGCTGCTGATAGGCAGGAGTTTCTGCCACATCCCCCAGAAACTAACACCACATACATCAGCTAAACTGGTAACCATCTGCCTTGGGACACACAAAACTCCCAGATTCCGAATGGCAGCCTGTTTCCGGAGGAACTCACACATGGGGTACTGTACACATCACCTGCAACAGAGATGGTTTATTTCAGGAGATGTGCCGTAAAAATACCCCTCCAACAACACTGAAAAATTGGCACTTCCTCAAGCAAGTGTGCAGACACCTGTGGGCGTCTCTTGAGCCTGACAACATGGGAATGTTCTAGACTTTTACGCCAGCTGAATATTTTTTTTGGACTGTGGACGGGTAGAATCTGTGGGAAAGCCAGCAAGATCTGTGATATTTTCAATGTTCAGGTAGAACTCATAAATTAATTATACAGAATGGGCTGGTGTTGCTTCGTACAGTAAATTCTGATCTCTTCACATGAACTAACAGGTTGGGCTGTTTTTGAGGATAAAATGTTCACTGTTTCAATCAAAAGGACTCTCACCTGACAAACCACATAAACATATATGAACAGCATTGTGTGTGGTGGGTAGAAAAAGGCAGATGTGATAAAGTTTATGTCGCTGGCCTCTTCTTATGTTAAATCAGGCCACTGTTCAAGCAGCAGTCCCATGATCAGGATGCTCTGCTTGGGTTTAGCCTGTTTAGGTGACCAGTGCTTGTCCTTGGCCTACTTTTTGGTCAGAGGCATACCATCAGAGCGAAAACACTGTAGTCTTTAAGCAAAGCGGCTCAGCAGGATGGATGCTGCATATTTATGGGTGAGTGCTTTTCAAGTTTTGTTAAAGGAGTATCGTAATGGAGGTCTGTGCACACCCGTCGAACAGCTCTCAGCATTCAAGCTCGTCCAAAGGGAGAGCTTTTTCTCTCTGCTTTTTGTTGCACGATATATTTTTAACGGCATGCGCATGTCTAAGTATGTGTGCTTGTGTGCATGCGTGGGTGTTGTATGAGCAATGAAAGATTTGTTGGTCCAAGATGTATAGTTTCCTCTCGTTTACATAATCATGATTTGTACTATGGTGTTTTCTTGAAACCAGCTTTTGTTTGATATCACTGTTCGCAACATGCAGCAAAAGAATTAGAACTTTAAAAATGTAAGTACCCCTTAAGTTCTTGCAAAGGCAGTGGATCTGTTTTGCTTACTGGACAGCATAATTATATAATCTTGTATACAGGTCAGCCATGTTAGGATAATTCTCAGTGAGAAGACCTGCATGGTGCACTGTACACAGCTCACTTCTGTTAGCGGTATAACTTTAAGACTTGCAGTTGAAAAAGGTGTTCTAACTGCTGTCACAGCTACCTGCTTATGTCACGCTCACGCTCATACATACAGACATTAATAATTACTAATGGACCCGCATTAGCATGATGAGCTTCCCCTTCCCCTCTGAAATATTTACACAGAACTGTTTTTTTTTAAATATCTTTCTGAAACATAAAGCCAGTGGGTGCAAAGACTGCAAATAAAACTAAGGTGAGATTCCATCGAACAGGCACCTTTTTTTTTTACTCACCAGCCGCTTGTGAACATTAGCCAAAATCATTTTAATTAATTCTAATAATTCTTTTCTGATCTGACCGTTAGTGAGAAAATTAGAAAGGATAAAAACACAACAAAAATGTGATAATGTGGACATTTTCAAACATGGACAAAAAAAAGGAGGGAAGATGGAATGGGATGACACTCAGCATCGTCTGTAGGTTATAAATAATTAAATCATTAAAAGCTCCTCTAATAATACACAGTTTTGCGTCCAGGCGACCAAAAATAAATGACGGTGCAAACGTTTTTTATATTTTGCGCTCAAAGAGCTCAAAGGCTTTCTGATAGTCTGTCAAAGGCTTTTGGACATTGGTTGTTTTTTCACACCTTTTCAGTGAAATCCGTGAACCTGACTCTTTGTGAAGAACGTGTTCTTAAATTTTTTTAAAATTTGTAATACCACTCCACATAAACTCATAAGACCAAACAACAACATTGTTAAAGTAGTATCTGATCCGCTTGAGAGAAAAAAATTAACTCAGAGAAGTTAGCATCCCAAGCAGAGCTTTGGAATGTCCTTTAAGAGGCCAGGAGGGTTGTTCCTGAAGACTACTATCCATCTCTACTCATCTAATCCAGTTAAGGAGGCTGGAGTTTATCCCAGCTGTGATTGGGCTGAAGGTAGGATGGGTCAGGGCCACCATTCTGAAAACCACTTAAAGAGATGAACAGAAAGCTTGCTTGAGAGGGTTAGTGCTTTTGAAGAAAACACCTCATAGCAAATACAGTCAGTATCTGGGAAGAGCACTTTATCAGCACTAAATAGTGACTATGAAGTCTACATATATTCCAATAAACTGGTGGATCTACTTCCTGTTTATCTGTTAATATACAGTATTAAAAATGTGGTGCAGTACAGATTGCTGCATGGTTCTGTATGACCTTTCTACCATAAACATGTAACACTGGGACTGTGCTGTGGTGCCTGGGGTATCCATAGAACCCTGTTGGTGTAGCCTTCTGTGAATCTACTTTAATCAATCACACCCTGCAGATGCTCAATGGAGCTGAAAACCGGGTTGGAGGGCCTTGGGCTCTTTTTTGTGTTCCTCATGTTGAATTAGCTCTGCAAGGAATCGTACTGTCTTTATAGGGGAGCTCTTTGGCATCAAGAAGGGATGTTGCCATGAGGTGGGTGTCTGGAGCCACACTGGCATCCACATGAATACCTGGAGGCGTTCTGTGAGAACGCAGCACTGTGACATAATCTTCACATTCATTTCACTTCACTGGTTTTAATGTTGTGGCTGATCAACCAAGGAAGGCTGATCAACAACGAATTTGTTCAAATTACATGTTAGGAATATACGTGGCAGTGCTCCCTGCTGGACAAATGACATATTAGTGGTACCTACCTTACAGCTGGCCTGGCATTCGTGCTGCCCTTTCTCACGACCCTTCACGAGCCGACGGTTACAGCAACACCAATAAATTGTTCATGACGTTATTACTTTATCTGCGATAACCAAATGCAACACCGTGTTAGTTTCCTAAGAAACAATTTGATTTGGAATTTTCAGCCACAATAGTTCTTTCTCATTCATTAAAAACAGACAGAGGTACTTTCTTTAGAGATCAGTGAGGAACAATTCTGGATCCACAGCATTGCTCTTTAAATACAAAATAAACACAGCTGTCTGAACACATTGAAAACTAATGGGAATTATTAAATATTACATAACGACGATGAGGAGTATCCTGTTTGCCATGTCTCATTAAAACTTGAGCTTCTGTTGCTAACAAGTCCAGAATTAGTTGAATAATGGTGATCATATGTTGGATACTGAAAGGCATATTTAAAAGAGCAGAAGGGCAGTAACTAAGTTTTTTTTCTCTCTGCTTGTGATTGGTGAAAAAATGCATGTGAGTGTATTGCAAGCAGTGTCCATCTGTAGGCTGTGGCCATCTGTGGATGCGAGCATGTTTGTATTGCACTGTACATTTTGATCAAAGCTTTTATTCTTCACCCCAGGAAATTAATGTGTGTTCATCATTTAGAATTGCTTTATTGCTGCACCATTGCTTCAACATTGTTGGAAGCAGGAAAGTGGTAATAAGATGGGGTGAGGGGTTGGTTGGTACAATTATAGCACTGATGATGTAAAGATACTAAAGCACACATTCCCCCTTAAATAGATCCAAGTGGTACGGTCCAAAGTCTTAAAGGCAAAGTGTTTTTTCTGGTGTGTGTGTTTTTTTTACATATTCCTAGTGAAACTTGAGACAACACTACAACACTACAGAACTATAAAAAGCACTAGAAATCCGGAATACTTTAACAGGAATAATTTATTTAGACCAAGGATAGTCACAATCATTTAAATGAATGATGACTTTTTAAAATCTGATTGTCCATGAGGATTCTGTCGTTGAAATGAATGGAAAACACACCTGTCCTCCTACATGAATGCACAGTCAGGTGTGTTAATCAGCAATCACAGACATTTCCCAGCTCAGTTTCTACTTACTCTGGTTGACCATATGACAACAACAAGCCTCCCTATTGCCATGGCAACAACTGCACCATTGCTAAGGCAACAGCTGCAGAGTGCTACAACAAGCAGAAAAACCTTGATGGGCTTTTTGTCTCAGTGTTTCGGCCGGCTGATAGGAACTCCGGTTTCATGGACTTTGTGATGCTCTCGTGATGCTTCATGTCTTTCACTCTGATGCATTTGTAATTCACACCCTCCTCAACACATTTTCTTTCGGTCTAATTCCTTCTGTCTTCAAATGCACACACACAGACACACACTCACCCACTCTCCTTTCCCTTTTCTCTCTCCTTAACTGTCCCCTCCCTCAGTTTTCCTGTCCATCCTCTGCTGTTTCGTCGTTTTATTCCGTTTCGCTTTTTCCCTTCCTTTCCACAGTGGGCCCCCCCTCCCGTTTTTCTTTTTTTTTTGTGGTAATCCCACCACCTCTGCTTCCCACCTCCATCCTCCTCTTTTTCCATCTCTTTTAATTTTCACTCCATCTTTTCTTCTCATTTTCCAACGTTCCTCTTTGGATATACTCTCACTTTCCCATCTCTCCACTCTTCCTCCTTCTCATACTAAAATCGAAGACCACCCTCTCTTCCCTCCTCACTCTTTTCTTTGCTCACTCTCTCTATTTCCCTGTGGCCCTCCCCCTCCCTTTTCATGTTTCCCCCTCCCTCCATCCTTTCTTTCCCTCGCTGGCTCAGTTAGTCAAAGAAGAGATTCACGGAAGGAGAGAAAAGGGGGGAAAGGCAGGACGAGAGTGAGAGCGCAGGAGTGGGGCAGGCTGGGGAGAGGGGTGTGGGGTCTCAGCCCTCTGTCGTGGGGGGTTGGGGGGGTTGAGATACACCCCAATATTTTGTTCTGAGTACCATGGACTGCCTCTGCATTGTGACTACAAAGGTAAGCCTATCTGTTGTTCCTAACACAAGCGTGTGTGTGTGTGTGTGTGTGTGTGTGTGTGTTTGTGTGTGTGAGTGAAAGAGTGTGGTAGCTGCCACAACTGTAAATGGGCACAGATGAGTGAAGCTGTCATTTGTCCGACATCTCTTGATTTTGAAGCGTGTCATTTCTTTTATTGTCCCATCCAGAAAGGTTTCAGTATTTCTGATCTTTTTGGGGGATTGAAACATTTCAGAAAAAAACCCTCAGGGTGAGCTCAGCTAAGTAAGAGGTGTGTGGACTGAATACTCTTTGATATCTTCCTCTCTGCATGACCCCCCTCTCCCACTCTCTCAGCATCTCCTACTCTGTGTTAGGCTTTGTGAGTGTATAAACAGAGGTTGGCTGACCTGCGTGGATGTAGTAATAGCGAAAGAAAGCCGGCTCTTAGGTTGCCTGTGTGAGGCTTTGTGTCATGCCAGGGCTGCAAAACATGTCAGGGAGAAGAGGAGCATCCAGGATGCTAATACATCCCAATGTTTCCCTCTGCTTCCTCCTTACCTTGACGTTAAGCACACACTGAAGTTACTGACTGCACACATCTGCTTGTGGCACACAGCAAATGAGCGACGTGTTATATCACATGTGCTCACAGTCAGCAACCAGCCCTCTTCTCCACGGAGGCTGGTCCAGACACAAAATTGGCAAATAAAGAGACATTAATATAGCTTTATTTCAGGCAGACAGCTGACACACTCTGGGTCTGGGGCCTGTTTGTTCAGACAGCTACAATATGTTCTAGACCTTCAAATGTCTGTGTGAACACACTTATTCACACAGATTAAGGGGCCGGTGTGCAGTGAGCACCTGGGCCTGAATGCTGCTCTTAGTAGGGAGCGATGACAAAAAGTTGCAAACAAATGGAGGCACACGACAAGTTTTACAGCTGTGTGAGGGCAGTGATCATCAGAATTTTAAACTTGGACTTATTTGGTGTTTGTGACACAGACGTGAGTGCAGCTGGTGCTTCCGGATGTATTACGTAAATTTGTGCTTAACTGTGGCACATTCATTTGCTCATCAAGCTCTCTGTTTCCGTGGCAACAGAGATTATTGGTCATTTAAACATAGACAAGTAGGTGCAGTCAGATGGGAATGAAAATTCATCGTAGAGGTTTAGAGTTAATAAAGCGCACACATGGATATGTTACTGATAAATGATCTCACATCTTTTCCCTGTTGCGACGATTCCATGATAGGTTGGTTCCGCTAACCTATTTTTGTCACCTAACATGCTGGAGTGTGAAAAACAAAAGACAAGGTATCTCTCAGTAAGTCTTGAGCACGACTTGCTTGTGCACTTTTTTCTTCCCCCACCGAGCGTGACTCACTGAAGGATCTTGAAAGAAGACAAAAAAATGATAATAATTAAAACAAACACACGCTGTGAATTGAAGTCCACAGTTGGTAACAGTGGATTTTTTTCACCGGACTTGTTCCAGTATCTTGCGTCGCTCTCAAAAGTGAGAAAAGACTTTCTGTAAAGCTGGCAAAGAAGCTCTGACTTTTGCCAAGAACTTGTGAGACAGATGGTCAGTTTATAATAGGGAAAGTCAGCGGACATAAACCGAGTTAACAAGCGCACCGACTGATAGGCAAAGAAGGTCTTTGATCGACAAATGCAATGAGTGGTTGCAATTTTAATGCAGCGCTTGCTAGCAACTCTAAACACCTCACCATGCCCAAATTGAGGGCCAAACTGAGCCAAAGGATTTGACAGCCAGCACAGTTCGGAGAACCGCAGATTAGGTGGAGCAGATACACAACATGCGTTCGGGTTGGACTTTCCCAATAGTTTGGTCCATTGCTTTGGACATGGGTCATTAAAGTTTTATGGAAGCTGGCTGCATTGCAGGTGAAGACAGTGGCTTACCATCATGGAGCAGATGATGGGTGAGCAGCAGCTCCCTGAGTGAGCTGTTCCCTGACACCCACATACTGTATAACAGGTTATGCGAACAGTGTTGCCTTCCTGTGCAGGTCTGAGCACTAAGTTTTACTGTGTGGGTGAAGCCACAGTGGGCTCCTGAGTGACAAATAAATTAAAACAGGATTGTGCAGTTAGGTGATTTCAGTCAAATGAATAGGGATATAACAGAAAGTTTCCAGCTGTCCACAAGGCTTAAATGGCTTTCCCACAGAGCCACTGTGTTGAGTGTTCTGGTGATAAATTCACTCGGAATTCAAAGGGAGCTATTTTTGAAGGATCTTTTTTTTCAGGATTGAGCCAGAATAAGTGCAACAGTGAGGAAGGGAGGAAGACTGAAAAGAATTTAATTCAAGCAACAAATGTCTCTCATCCTCGAGAAAAGAATAGTTAAAATACTGTTCATGACATTTACATTTGCATTTACTGTGGTAAAAGCCTTACGCAAGATATCATTCTGTCTTCCAAAGCTTTCAAAAATACCTCTGAGACATTTTTTTCCCTGTTGTCTTTTTTAAAACAACTTTTAAAAGAAATACTCAGAAAGCCCAATCAAAGTTCTATTATTCTGTCTGGAGTGGAGTAGAAGGTGCTCCAAAGCCACCATAAGGTGTTCAGCAGGAACATTCAATGTTTCTGTTCTTGCCCGGTAACAGATCACCCATCAAACTGGACCTTTGAGCAGCTTATGTAAGTCTGCTCCTTCCTACACTAAAATCTAAGTGAGAAGAAACAATAATTTCACCATATGATGCCAGTGGATCTCAAAGGAGCATCATTACATAATATTTTGAACTGAAATATTAGGAAATATCTAGTTGAAGAGACGTCACAAGATTTATATTTGTACCTTTGATTGTTCCTCCCTTTATGGGACTGAGCCAGAGAGGGATGATTTAATATTTGAGAAAAAAGAACAAACAGGGTGCACAGCCATCCCCCATAATCTTAATTCTATCTTGGAGGACATCTAGAAACAAAATAAAGTCTTCCTGTGTGTACAGGAAGGCGGAAAGTACATTTCTGCATCCTTTTTTATTTCTTTGCTCTGCTTAGCCAATCTTCACTCCTCTGATTAGCACTCTCCTCCCTGTTGTCCTCCTCGTTCCACACCTCTGTTCTCACGTTTCCAGTTTCCAGCAATTTTTCGTCCTCTCTGCCTCCTTCACCTCAGTAATCCTTCCCTCGCTCCTCTCCTCCATCCTCATCTTTCCGTTATCTTGCTTTACTTCCGTCTGCTCTCTCTTCTCTTTGCTGCTCTTCACTCTGAAGCTTGCCTTTCTGCCCTCTTCTCTGGCACTTTTGAGGCTACTCTGGTTAAAGCTTCTTCATATGAATTATACATGTGACAAGATGTAGTCAAAGTCAGCAGCCCTGTGCACACATTGGTGGCTCCATGTATGGCCACATGCCCTAACATGAACATCCTTCTTCCTAGAGTGAATTTTAGCGCACTCTTATCCTTAACTGTCAGCCCAGTTTCTGCCTTCACATCTATGAATATTTATTTGTGCTAAATGTGAATGCTGCTGTGTGCATACAAAGAGGAGAAGCTTATGGCTGCCGCATCTTGCTGTAGAACTAAGACTCCCCAACATGGGGTAGCTAAACCATGTGCACGGCACTCTCAGCACTCATTTAACTGCACGAGTGTGTGAAATACAGAGCAGTGTGTTCAGCATTCGGATTAGTGATCCAGTGGAGAGCTCAAATGATCTCAACTCAAGGGCATGGGCATCCGTCAGGCCTTTGTATGCAGCCACAGAGACACTGATCCTGCCAAGTTACTCCCAGGGCACAGTAAGAGATGCAGGGCTTACCCCCAGTGCAAGTCAGATGCCATGACTGCACAGTGGTGGGGTTCTCGACTAGCTCACGGACGGACACACAGCGGAATTGAGGGGATAAAACGACGACATTTGGAAATATTATTCCATCCACCAGATATCCGTGTCATCTTCTGGGCTCAGATGATCGGGCTCCTAAAGGAACACTGAAAATGACCGGGGTTAGCTATGGTTCTGCTTCTTCTTAAAGTACAAATTGCACCACTCACCCACACATTGAAACGCTCTCCCAAAAGAAAGGCTCACTCCTACATGATCAGACAGAATTCACACAAACTGCAGAGCATCCAGCTCCGGCACAAGGGGCTTCTGTGCAGTGCATTGTGACAGCAGCCTTACTCAATTAAAGTAAATTGTGCGAGTTCATGCAGGGAAACTCCTCAGGTTCGTATAAAAGGGGAGTAGAAGATTGCTGTGTGGTGTTACGGTTAAACAGCCGACAATTTGATCAAAATGGGGTTGAGTAATGAGAGCCAGTTCACTTTCTACCACTACGTCTCTATTATATGTGCTCATCTGTCTTGCCTTGGAGAAGCAACACAGGCTCGTTTCATATTGGAGCTATGTGTGAATCTTTCAGCTGTTTCATAATGCCAGTCAGCCCCAGCAGGCGCCTTAGCCACTGAGGAGGCTGTTAGCAGCTTCTCTTTGTGGAATGCACACAACCCAATCTGTGTTGCACGTTTTCTCTTGCTGTATTTCTCCTCACTGTGCTCCGCAGTAATCCCCAATTAAAGCAAATCCAGTCAATTCTCGTGAACTTTGACTCCTGATCACTGAATATTTTAGGATGCACTGATATGAAGAAGGCCTGTTGCTCCATGTGTAGCCTTTCCTGTGTCTCTCTCATTTTCATTTAACCAAAGTACTTCTACTTGATGTAAAACTGGATCTTTTATTTTCCACCTGCCGAAATGAAAAAGAAAAAGGAATGTGTAAAAATGAACAGCAACTTCAATGTTAACAGGTTCAGATTAATACAATGGCTTAAAGAACGTCTTCCAAATAATTTTCCATCCCCTTTATTGGGAAGCAGAGTCTTCTAAGAGTGTGTACTCCTCAGTGTTTTGGTTGTCAGCATCATTGTCCCGTCTGAAACTGCCCATATGACAGGTGACACGTTAGATCCATCACATAGAGTTTGGGCTGGAGACTTTGTCGTCTCTCATTGAGTGAGAAGGCAAATGGCAACACACAGGACTGCAGTGGTGGCACACAAGGAGGATGGTGGCTGACAGCGACTGTGAGTTAAATGGGCTAGAAACACACACAGAAAAAAAAAAAACTCTTGTGGAAGCTCGGTAAACGAGACAGTGAAATATCTAAGTCAGTAGCACAATGGTGTGTGTTTAGAGAAAGAGATAGTTTCAGTACAGTAGGCCCCATCACTCTCATTAGAATGAGAACGAAGGCCGCAAAGGTCAATATCCTGGCATTTTTGTTAAAGTGCCTGACAAGCCTGTGTCATGCGTGGGGTGGGCTGTGGATGTGATGTGTTCTGCAAAATGTGCATGGCAGAAGAAATGCACCAAAGCTGGAATAACCAGTATGCCACTGCTGATACCATCAACATGAATAGCAATAGCATTACCTTTGAGAATGGGATCAGATTTTCATAGAGAGTGGTGACTTTTCTTTTTTTTCTCCAGTATAGTACACAATGACACCTTGTGGTAAATAGTTACAATTACAGCACAGGAGTTCAAGACAACCTGGCCTGGGAAATCTTAGAAACTGCTACTGCCGCTGTCATTCATACAAACGGGTAAGAGCTTGAAAGCTGCATTAGTACATGTCTTAGAAGTGCACTGTGGTCTGTGTTCACCAGAGACCCATCTCCGTGCGATTCCTTATTATAAACAGGAAACATGCATCTGAATTACTGTATCAGTTATTCATGAGCAGCCCCTTGTCAAAGACCTTTAGTGTTCTAATCTGAAATTCAGGTCACAGATTCAAAGGTTTTTAGCCTCATCTTTGGCAGACAGCACAAGACAGCCCACGGTACCATCCTCATTTTAACAACATGCTTTCTATTTCAACTGATAAGATTCACCTTGATTTGGGTACCAAGAAAATGAGAAAGTGGGATGACTGACACCATGAGCTAACGACACCATGAGAATACAGATTTGCTTACACTCAACACAGTAATGTACAAGCACACAGATTTTTGTGTGACTTGTTTGTCTCTGGCTTGGTATCTCCATGTTCCCCTTATAGGTGATGTCAGTTGCTTAGCAACCAAGCAATCAGGGCCGGATTGTTGCCATGACAACATGGCAGGGGTATCATCATGGAGAGAATAGAGATGAAAGGAGGAAGGGAGGCAGAGAGGAGAGGAAAAGAGAGATGGGGAGAGATAGAGCGAGTCCTGCCATTGAAGGGTGTTGATAATGTGAAGCCCACAGCGTGCAGGTAGGAGGATGACCTCCGTGTAGGCGGCAGCAGAGAATGCTCATAAATGCAGAAAATAGAAAATTAGTGTTTGGTCTTACGTGGCTGGATCTGCAGGTTACCCAGCGTTTGACACTGTTCTAACAGGCTTCATTCCAGATGGAAATGTCACAATGGGCTCCAGTTCTCTTCGGTTACTCGCAGAGAAGCTGATGCGGAAGCCACAACTCAGTGTGCCTCTGAGGTCCAGAGGGCTTTGGGTCTAACTTCTGCAGGTGTCATAACCCATCCATCACTCAACAGCAGCCCACTGTAAAACAGTCCAATGGGGTCATGCTGCATTTAATCTGTTTATTCCCCTTCTCAGCTCGACTTCCCTGTTATCGCGTCCATGTAGCAGGGGGAGACATGGTCTCAGAAGTGGGGCAGCTGCACAAAATACATTCACCACAATGTTACTTATCAGGAATTACCAGCGACTCCTCTTACATACAGGCGTCTATAGAACAACATTTGAGATATTGTGTACAGAGAAACAAAAACGGTATATCCATTCTTCAGAAATGACTAATGACAATTTATTAATAAATAGTCAAAGTTTTTTTCATTTGTTGTGTGACCACACTCACTCAAGGTTTAGATTTTGTTTTAATAAGATAGTCCCAAACTCAGATCTGTACATCATAGAATGACCACGTCTATGTCGTATGAGGGTCCAGACTTCACAACTAGGAGAACAATCTTTTGTAGTCTGTGGTGGAAATCGCTGCGAAAGAGACCTGGGTTTGTTGGAACGCTAAAACTCGATACAAGAATGGGAAGACAACTCACTATCAAAACTACACTTTCCGATTGTCTGAAGAAAGAATGAAGACTCCCAGTGAGAAGCATACTCTAGCATTGACTTTATAGAAACAAGTTGCTTTTATGCAATACAAAATGAGCATATAATATCCAAAAACAAGAGAAAACTGTGTAACCGTCTCAAGGGCTTTGGTATTACTGTGTAGTCAGACATTTTATAGAGTTATACAGAAACAAGTGCTCCTGTGTTTAAGTATTAGAATATTTATTTTTATCACCTTTGGTTTCAATGTGTTATTTCACAACTTATCTCTCTGCTGCTCCCTTTTTTGAGCTATGTAGCTTGAAAAAATATACTAGGCTATATAATTCATTCAAACCAAAGGCTGTCCCAGATTCCCAGTTTTTCAAAAGCATAAAAGAGCGAAGACTTCTTTTATTTGGACAGAAAAACAAGCATCCAACCAAAATAAAAGGGACGGATACTATTATTTGGAGGGTGCTTCATGAATGCAAACGGCTCCAACATGTTTCATCTTGAAAAAAATAGGACACATATGTACGTCTTCTTTTGGAAAGACATTAGCATCAACTACAATTACTCAAATCAATATTTGATTGCTATTTGAATAAGCTCAGTAACAGAAACAGCAGAGTTAAAACAAGTGGGGTAAAAAACATACAGTCAAATATGAACCAAAAAGCTCAGTGTAGCTGAATACCATGAAAGGGCAGAAATAGCCTTTTCTTTCCCCTTCAGTACTAAACAACAATTATGATGGTGTTAAGACCACATAAAGTGGACACACATCCATTAGTATAAGTCTATCTTTTTCTCTGACATATTAACCCTCACAATTTATTTTCCTGTGAAGAATTCATCTTTGTCCATGCCTGTCTGATCCCAGCTGTGGGGTAGTCCAACAAGGCCAGGGTTCTGTGGTAGTGTAGGATGGTAGGGTCATGTCTTAGGAACATTTATCAGTGTGCAAATACCAGCTGTTTCCCAATGGTTGACCAAAATAACTATTTGACCAGTTCTCTGCATATTGAATCTCAATTAACAGAAATATAATTTGATACGGTGTTAATAAGGTGTTGATAATATGCACACAAATATTCATTAAAATATTAACATCTATGTAAAAAAGCTGATTGTCTTCTAAGGAACAAAGCCAAACCTGACTTAAAACTTTAATGTGGCAAACATATTATCATCCCTGGCAGATAGCAGGCACCCTCTTACATGTTGTTTAGTATTCAATTTGATTGATTTAGATGTACCTTAAGTGATCTGATAACACTGTTTTAACAGAACAATTCATGCAGAGCAGTAAAGTCGGGCTGTATTCACTCAGTGAGTGGTTCAACTTGAGACAAAAATAAAAATGACAATTTAAATTGCCACGCCTCTCAATTTGTATATCATAGAGAATTAGGAAAATAAACTAATGAATGGAGCAACAAAGATGTCTGAAGTGTTTGTCATTGAAGTCTTTGAAACACTGAAGGGTTTCAATAGCAATTTCACATAAGCATTCTTTGTTCCCATTTCTGGAGTGTAGTAACATAACCATATCAACCATAATCTGAAAGATGGAACCAATCATGTTGAAAAAGGTTATACTACAGGACATAGATGCCCTGGGGAAGGGGAAATTAAAAATTAAATCACAACTGTAGAGAGCCTTGACTATGTATTCTACTGAGGTAGTGTCTCGGATGTCCTCCCGACGACGTGGTGAATTATTCTAAGTCTTTCAAAAATACTAAGTTCTTGGAGAAGCAGTTGAAAAATCTCAAAGAGTGGTCAAAAAGAAGCAGAGGCAGCTGGGTCTCAGTCCAGAGTGGTTTATTGCAGCAAATACAAGTCAACCACATGAGCTGTTAGCCAGGCTAACACCTACTCTCTTGGGAAAAGTGGTCTGCTTATATACACTCCCTGGGTCTTGGGGGCTCCTCCCCGAGCCCCTTCTATTATGACGTATTTTCAGGTACTTTTTCCACCATTATAACTAATATTTGGCTTTCTATTTTTCCAATTTATTAGGTTTTGGTAATTAGGGTTTTGGGTAATTATACTGCGTTGAATTTTATTCTATGTTTTCCTGTTTCTAATTATATTTGTTTCAGTAACCTATTTTATAACTTATTATTTTTGTCTTGATTTTTTTGTTTTTACTTCTTCAGTTCTTTTTTATTTTTACTTTAATACTTAATTACTCACACTTTATGCAGACAAAGACATACAAATATTTAATTATTTCAAAGTATCTACTCCTCACTGTCTCTTTACAGTGGCATACGTGTTTGTTCCCTGCTGTCAGGCTCCACTCCTCGATAGGCTAAGTGGAGGACGTCCCCTTCGAGCGGTACTTATTTTCTCTGACTATCGCTTAGTCACTAATACCTTTATGAGTAGCACAAATTTATAGAGCACCCTGACTATATTTAGTCACCAATACTCTTTGTTTAACACAGGTTTATAGAACATACACTAATTGAATCAACTGCTTGGGCGGCTGCCTCCTCAGACTGTGTCAATTGCTTGACCAGTCTGTCCCTACTCTGTCAACCGCTTAATCAGAATATAGCTTGTTATGATTAGCCCAATTGTACACAAAATAATCCAAGCCCCAATCAATACTTTAAAAATGCATTCACTCACTTTATCCATACATGCACTCACATACACATACCTTTTGGACCGTTCTCCAGCTTATTCTGCGATTTTGTATTTTATTTTATGGAGATATCACTAAATTTGGAATGCTAGGTCTTTTTAGGAGAGCTTTGTGGTGCCTGAAGCCAACAAGCCACCGCTGGAGGCCGGTTTCCCCACAAATTTAGAGAATTATAACAAATTTGTATCTCACCTGTAATACGGTGGATAGTGGGCCCTTGGGGTTGCCTGGCCTCCAACCGGTGCTCGCAGTCGTCTGGCGCCGAACTTCCTCCTGGCTGGCTCGCCAAAATGTCGTGGATGTCCTCCCGACGACGTGGTGAATTATTCTAAGTCTTTCAAAAATACTAAGTTCTTGGAGAAGCAGTTGAAAAATCTCAGATTTTTCAACTCTTTTCAAGAAAGAGGGGCAGCTGGGACTCGGTCTAGAGTGGTTTATTGCAGCAAATACAAGTCAACCACATGAGCATAGCCAGGCTAACACCTAATCTCTTGGGAAAAGTGGTCTGCTTATATACACTCCCTGGGTCTTGGGGGCTCCTCCCCGAGCCCCTCCTATTATGACGTATTTTCAGGTACTTTTTCCACCATTATAACTAATATTTGGCTTTCTACTGGTGGAAATTCACCTAGAGTTCCATTTTTTAAGATGGGCATCTCAGCCCCAGTGCGTACCCATGGTTTCTAAGGTGATATATGTCCCATACCTCTCTCTCTTAGTAACTGCTCACGGTTTCTAAGGTAATGTATGTTCCATACTTCTCCTCTCTTAGTAACTGCACATGGTTTCTAGCGTGATACATGTGGGTTTGCATTAACCCCCATATGGTACATGTTTACTCAGCCCATTAGTGTGCTCTGTCTGCAGTTTCTTGCACTTACAAGCATTTAGTATGGTTTGACCTCTGGACCATGGTTTTTTCCACTTCCACACATAATTTCTTAAACACTTCTTTAGATACATGTTAATATACTTCTTTTCTAGATATATGTTAAGGCACACTACTAATCATTTGTGATAATATATTCATTGTAAGATATTAATCCACTACAGTAGTCAGGTCATTATGCAGAAAAGAGTCATGGGTAAAAATAGCGACCAGAAGAGTTTGTGTTGTATCAAACGTGTACTTTAAACTATGAGCACCATGATGAGTTTGACCTATGTATGGTTGGAGAACCCAGTGACATTTTTGAAGTCTAACGATCTTGATAACACTTTGGGGGAAAAAAACTAACACTTTGGATACTGAGATTGTGCGAAATACAGGAGGACAAGACTCACATCCTCATTATGGAGGACTTCCTCCTCTCCAACTATAAACTTTTAATCAACGTGCCAAACTAACGCGACCGTATTTCCGTCCCCTATGAGGAATGCAGAAAATGGAGGAGTTCTAGGACCTTGCTGGCCACTCATTTTCTAGCTTTATCATTGAATCACTATGGTCTTAGCCGGAAGTGACAAAAAGGATGACGTTTAGCTGTGGCATCCTACACAACATTCCCTCCTATTAGGACTTAATGGCTTCTTGTTTGAAAAAGCTGAGAGTGAGATCAGCTCTGATGTCATGACACTTCTGTTACTCTGCTGTCGGTTGTACGAGTGGCACTCTCCAGGATGTCATTACTGAAAAGCAGAATGATTTATTTTTTTTTGTATTTGGCTGTTTCAGATGGAGGACCCACTAGCCTCCCGCTGAAGTCATTATTTGTAAAACACATTGGATAAAACCATCATCAACATGAATGTAATGTTACTCCCCATTACTAATGATTTACAATATATACATAAACAAACATATTTTGGAGAGTGCTACAGCTCCAAAACTGTTACAGGATGCTGTCATTTGGCATTTGTCAGCATCAAAGTAAAAGCGCTCGTTTTCTTTTTTTTTTCTATCATCCTGCAATGCTCTCTTGTCCACTGACCCCAGGTCAACAAAATTGCTTTCCTTGATAAAAATGACCCCCTGAAGAGCACCGCTTTGACTGGCAGTGGCCGTTCCAGTCTCAGCGTTAAAAAAAAAGCTAAAGATCTTCACTGTGAGATAAGAAGAGCAGTGATGCCATCTATGTGAAACAATTCCAGCATGTCCAATTCTCCTGAATACATGCTTTTGAAAACTTCAGGAAATGCGCCATGAATCATAATTGGAATAACAGTGAGCTGTACTTTGTGTACTCTAGCTCCGAGATGTTTACTCCAGTTTTCCCCGGACACCTCCGTCACTCACATTCACACAGTTGTCCTCCCTCGGCATCCTCACTTGGTGTGATTTCAGGGGAGGACTTCACCTTGAGTGTGACTTATTTCGCGTGTGAGAGCCGTTAATCTCTGGAGGAATGCTTCGCTGCTGAATTTGCGGACAATTACCCCCAACATTACACTGCAGCCATTTCAGGCCATTGAGGAGCATCGCTGAAACGGGCTCGTTTCAGTTGGAGCACCTGCTTAGAAGTGAATATGAAAATAGAGGTTGCATAACTGAGAGCGATCCGTGTCAGAAATCTTCTGGGTGTTTACTTTACCTTCACTTGATGCCGCTTTGCTAAAGTCGAAATCATTGGAAAAATACAGATAAAGAGGCAATAGGCAGGGTGGGCAGACGCATTCCCCGGAAAAAAAAAGCCCAGCATACTATAGGAGGTTGATTCACTGTCTGTGCGTTTCCTTCCCTCTTCCCTCCCTCACTCAAACATATTTTATGAGTCACAGCTGGAGCAGACTGCCCGCCCTCTCTTTTCTTGCCTTTAACATCAAGATATATCCAACATCAACAACTCTGGCTTCCAGGAAAACTCCCTCTCCTCGTCTGGTATGACACCCCCTCCCCCTGGTCTACACTCCCCCCCTCCCTCTTTTTTATTTCCTCTTCCCCTTCCCCAGCCTCCCATCCGTCTCTCCCTCTCTCTTTCTCCCCGTCCCTCTCCTCCTCTACTGCGGGTGTCTGGGTGGCTGTTTTTCCTCTGTCTCTTGCTCATGAAGGGCCGCACTAAGCTCCCTTCTCTCTGCCCGTGTGTGGTAGGTAAACGCACCTCTGTGTCTGTGTCGCTCTTCTCCTTCCATCTCTCTGTTGCTGCCTCTGTTTTGCATGTTAGCTCAAAGTCTGCTAATCGTTCTTGCAGGTTAAGGGGACGCCTGTATCTTCATTTTTGGGATATTTCATCAAACACGCCTTTGATCTGCTCCACTGTTAAAGATAGATAGGGAATATGTGGATGAGGATCTTTTTTATGTGTGCTCTGGGTAGGTTTAACCATCTATTTTGGGTTTTACGTATGAACATGGCCGAGCACATGTATGTGTGTGTGTCAGGGAGCATGTTCAGAAATGCAGCTGAAGTAAAACTCTGGCAGACTTGTTGATCAAAGCATTGCAGGTTTGTGTATGCAGTGTTCTTATTCTCTGCTGGCACTGGCTTTGTCTCATCACATTTTGATCATAATTAGTATGCTCGTGCACCTCCATCCTGAGGACCCTAGGGCACGATACCAGTGTGCTTATGAGAGGACACTTTATGAAAAAACACAAAAAAAAACACAGTCATCACTGAAAAAATGTCCTTTTATTTTAGGGTTGCAGCATATGCTTTGTATCAGTGTCATTTAGGGACACTTTAGTGTTGGAGGCAAACGGATGAGCTTCCTGTCCATGTCTGACGTAGTGTAAGACACAGTATGTTGACTACAGAATAAATGAAAGCCATGTTTTTGAAAATAAAAACAGAGCAGGAAGTCCACGCATCCTCCAGCCTTAATTAGCTGAGATGTTGAGCATCATCTCTGGCTGTCTAAATGCAGCTTCATAGCAAGAAAAAAATTATAGTATGTGCGCCTATAAGTGTGTGTATGTGTGTGTTTGAGGTCAAACAGCTCTTTGAGCTCGTTATCTGGGGTTTTTCAAATTGAATTTCACATTAAACCCTAAGCAGATCGTAAAGAGAATCATAATTTTCACAGGAACAATCCATGTTAAAGTCGATACATTATTAAGAAACAATAATGCCACAATTCACAGGCCTGACACTTTTCTAATTTAAGAATATTTACATCCGCCTCAGGTTGAGCTTGTTAGAAATAGTGGCCACTTCTGTAAAACGTATTCTTTATAGGTGCTATGTGCATAAGGAATATGGATGTAAATCCGCTAACAGGACAAGACGACTACTTGGTTTTACCACAAGCTGTAAAGGCAGGACGGCATTAAGAGATTAAGATCACAGAATTATGGACACGTGAGGAAAAAAATATTAAACTGTACTCCAGTGATGAGCTCCTACTTCAAAACATTTCACATGTCTTAAACCTAAACAGTTGTAATTTGTTTTGTGAAAGGAGATCCTGGATTTTAATGGCAATTTGATTGTTGTTTCGTAAGGTGAACATATTTATGGGAACATTTTTAGCACTGGTCTTGAATAGGCACCCCAGTATCCACAGCCCTGTGTCAGGAATGGTGAGGCTCTCGCTGTGCTGCCTTCATATTTTTAGAAAATGTTAGAAAGAAAACGCTTCCTCCTCCAAAAGGAGTGAAATATTTACACTTTACATCTGAAGTGGACCTTCTATGATTTTTTTCCTTAAATATTTTTTTGTACACCAAAAATAGCACGTTTAAATAGGTTTTTAAATATTGAAAACACCTGCCAAACCAAGACACTTCAAACTTTTTGTGTTGTCAGAGGTAGTCTGTTTATCTTTGGTGTATTGATGGCTACAACTCATTGGTCCTATATACAATTACCTCCCATGGGAAGGGACTGTATAACGCTATAAACGGTCATCACACTGGACTGCACTGTCTGCGTGGCACCGCATTTCCTGATAATCATGACTTTCTAAGATTTATAGGCTAGTTTACTACTTTTCACGGGGCCCAGAGTGTAGGGGCAAAGATTTAGCTGCCAGCCGCCTAGCAGTCCGGTAAAATCAATCTGTCTTTCCAAAATTCCCATCCAGAGATTAGTGCCACCGAATTTTGAGGGCCTGTGTACATGTATCTATGTGTTGTGTCCCCATCATCACTATCGTGTTGAGCATTTGTCGAAAGGGGCACTGACAAAATCTTCCCAACCAAATGACCACAGCGACCACAGACTAGTAGGACAACATAGTGCCATGAAGCTAAGCCACTCACCCCAAGATCAATTCTGAAGAGAAAAATCTCAAACAAGTCAGAGAAGAGGATAAGAGCTGAAGGCGTCACCTAGAAAGAGTTAGTCGAGCTCCCTGAATCCTCAACAACAGCCATTTTTCTTTAATTTAAGGCACTATCCAGTGGTCCGTTTGATGTGGGGGCCCTTTCCCCAACATCAATGTTTACTGATTCTTATTGTAAAGTGACACATCATCAGCACATTCCGAATGAGAAACTGATTGACAGTAAAACTTCCTTGACACAGGCGGATGTGTAACTGATGGGGCATTTGCAACTACTACTGCCATCTGATCCTCCCGTGTCTTTGCTTCAAAGCTCCCTCAGTAAGCAGAATGAGAAATATGAGCTTGCCATCTAACATAATGACTCAGCTTTTAGTTGTAGCAACAACATGACAGCATTTACCATTGTGTCTAATGAGAGTGTACAAATGACATTAACATTTAATTTAGTGTGTTTTGTCACCTTTCTAAATGGATGTTTTAGAACTAAGTAGTTTAAGCGTGATCAGCAGACTTGTCTAAACATTACAGGTAGGAAAAAAAAGGGATGCTGATAGCACGAGATGGCGTACTATCCATAGGGTTTTTGTCGATGGTAGTGTATGAGCAATGCTAGAAAATACAAACAGAAACTAAATGATTTACATGGCTTTCAATTTGAATATTTGTTACTGTGATGAAAACTGTTTTCATTTTTTATTTTGAATAACGTTTGATCTTTGGTAAAATAAAGGTGTTTAGTTTAGTTTAGTTGAGCACATATGTTTTTTCCCTCTATCCAAGAAGAATAAAAACCAGAGCACTCCACTCATTCTGCTTCATTTTCATGTGCTGCCAGGCTGCTGTTGCTGTTCCTTTTGTTTTCAGTTATCGTTACATTCAATTGGACAAAATGAAACAGCATTTCTCATTTCACATTTAGATAATGATCTTTTCAAATAAATAAAGGTTTTTAATTACTTGCAAATGATTGCATTCTGTTTGTTACTTCAATTTTACTAAAGCGTTCAAACTTTATGTGTAATATTTAAAAACCTTCCTCCTAAAAAAAGCATACTATTTTAGTTAATAGCCATTTTTAAAAGCAACCATTTCTTTTATTGAGCTTTTCTTATTATGTTTATTGTGATAATGACCCATGCTGAATTGAACATTACTTACATTGTCGTGTAATTAGAGCAAGCTTTTAATTACAAAGTATTCATAAGTGACTGTTAGGCAGGGAGCTAACTTAGTTGTGGAAAATGTTCAGTCTGTTAAATAATTCGTTTGTACGTTAAAATTACACACTTATTTTCAAATTGCAGTTGTGTGCTCAGAGAGCTTTCGTGCACACACCACTAAGATTATGCTCCCAATGTCAACAGGCAAAACAGCAAAAACCTACAATTAGGTCTGAATGCAGGTTATTGTAAACAGCTTTGCTCCATGTGCAGTTCAGAGCAAAAACAGATAAGGATACTTCTGACCACACGAAACTGTGCTGCATCAGATATGTATTGGGTCAGCTCCTCTCTGTTATGTCAGTTATATTTACTTTGATTTGCAAATGATTCACATGAGCTATTTAAATGGCAGTGGTGGGAAACTGAGGCATTAACACATCCAGTCATCTCCACCAATGAGCCCCAGGTCTGGATCTGTTTTTATCATCTTGGCGAGAAAATTCGCTGTGGCTGGCCAGACTGATATCCTGCTGTAGTCTCTTCTTGCCAAGTCAAAGCTATACGTGGTGGCCTGAGAGTATTTTTTTAATTTAGTTTTTTATGCGTTTTATCACAGGTGGCTCAAAAGAACTACTTTATCGGTTAAGAAAAGGAATCACTGCAAATGCCAGTAAGGATGTCAGCTCCAGGCCAGGTGTAGTTAAAAAAAATCATACAATTCCTCTAATGCACAAGGCTTTATTTACCAAATGTTTCCAGCTTTCTTGCCTTCATCAAAGCAGCCCGTACTGACAAGTGCTTATTTATGCTTGAAAGTTGCCTGAAAGTCAGCACCAGAGGACAAATGTGCAGACACAATTAATCCTGCAGATGTGGATGGAAATACAGATGAAAGCATCGCTGATTTCTTTGAGCTGATGAGTCAGTGTACAACATCTCTAGCAGAAACAAAATTTAGAATATGACTTTTCGTGAGTCAGCTAAAGGTCAAAATTCAAATGGCGTACATATTGGAAAGTGATCATTGATCAGGAAATACTGACAGCCTTCAACAAGCTTTTGGCAATATGTTGTAATCGCATCCCTTTTTGGCAGATTTAATAGTTGAAATACTGTCAGACTACTCATGTCCACGGAGATTGCCAGTAAACCTTTGGCTTTAGTTTAGGAGAGTAAAAACAAGACAGTCTCATGACTGACTGAAAAAAGAGCATCATCTCAAACTCATCAGCGACAGCATGATGCGCAACAGCCCCCGCAACAACCACAAAGTCACGTGTGACACCTCAACCTTTACTCACTGACCCAATCGATCTCGCTAGTTGTAAACTTAAACAAATGGGATAGTAAAAAATACTGTAACGTGCTTTTAACAGAGATTTTCTGGAATGACACGCTTTGCCCTTTACATGAACTCCGGTGACTCCACAAAACCCTAATTTTTCTTCTAAATATAGTCCGAGCTGCCCTCAGTTACCAAGGCAAAGAGAATCAGACTAGTTTAATTTAAACTGCAGCCTTGCTACCATCTCTTGTTACCAGAATAGTACAGTGGGCTATGGATCTTCCAGCTGCTGTTGCCACAGAAACCATGACAAGACACTATGGAAGCCCTAAGAGAAAAGATGTCACACGCACACCCCTTTTTCTTTCTTTTTTTGTTAAAGTCAGTTACCTGGCTGTTCCATGAGCTCTTTTCAGACAGGTTTCAGCAGTCAGACAGATGCCCTCACATTTGACTTTGAAGACACTGGTATGTGGGGGAGTACACGGTCGACTGAGTGAATGCAAGGTGTCCAGGTGGCTGCAGCCCAAAAGCCCCCCCCACTACACCACCACCACCACCACCGCCCTATCTCTGAGCAGTTGACGGTCTGACCTTGACGTGTGCTCACGGTCACAATCATTGCTAAGACGACTGACAGTGGTCTTTAAAACTTTCTGACCTACATATATGCTCTCTAGCTGTTGTTTGGAAAAGTTTTATATCCACTCCGTCTGTTGGGCAGCAACATTCTTTCTCTCTTAGATAATTGCTGATGTCTTTCCTCTTTAACTTTGCATTAATACACAACTGGATGCTCAAGACCAGCAAACAACCAAAAACCTCAAGTTGATCGCTCCTGTTGATGATCGATTAAAGACTATTTGCCCTCATATGTAAAACCTTAGAATGTAAAGGTGATGGACTTTCTTCTAAAGCGTTTTACTCTCACATTTCAACACTTTTGACCATAGTTTAGGTGAATGTGAAAATGATTAATCGAAAGAGGCCTCTTAAATACTTCTCAAATGATTGTGAGTAACATTGGCATTCGTTTTGTTCAATTATGACCTTTTGGTTTCATATCATGATCTTATTTGCACATTAACAAGCTGGTTTTGTTCTGAAATCTGGTTTCCTGCTAAACCAATTTTTTTCTTGTTAAAATCAGCCCCAACACCTCTTTTTTCACTTGCAGGAAACAGATATTCCTATTTTCCATTCCATATCTTCCATATGATCAGAATTTTTATAAAAATGCATGTGAATGAGACATGCTTTTTTAGGCCAGTCTTAATAATGTATGTGCATGGAAATATGATTGTAAGGGTATCTGCTCATGAAAGGAATCACATGTCCCAGAAACAGTTTGAAAATATAATACATCACAAACTGAGATCCACTAAATTTAACATGTAGTGGCATTAATTTTACATTCTATAAGTCACAGCTTATGCAGCTGAACCGGACATTATAGTAGCATGTTAATGGGGTTCAGACAGAAGGGAAGGCACCTGATGGAGGATTTAACAGAGACAGGCCCAGAGAAAGCTAATCTTGTGGGTGGTTCTGGTTCATGTAATAGACAGATTTGGGAGCCTAAGTTAACAGATCGTTGGTCCACATTTTTCACACTATGCATGTTTAAGTCTCAGATGGTGGAGAGCTGGCAAAGAACTGTTTCACTATTGTTGTCTTTAATGTGGGAGGACGCAGAACCCATCTGTGATGGCTATAAAGAGTCATACCAACAGTTACTGTGGACATTATTTGATTGTCAAAAAGGAGCATCGTCGGTGTGCCGTCATGATGAATGAGAAGCGGATGAAGATATCTTTATTTAATTTCAGGGGTTACCAATAATAATGCCAAAAAGCGAAGTATAATACCTGTCTGTGTGTGAACATGTGTGGCCCCTACCAAAAAAAGAAAGACAAGAGCATTTTCACAGTCATTTCTGATGATGGTTCTGTTTGGAGGTGTAAGCTTTACACAGCTGGCTGATTTTGACAGAGAGTAGCATACATTTACAATGTGAAACAATTCTGTTTGCATGTAGAGAGTGCTGTCATGGTATCTGATGCTGATGTGGGCCCATTGTTTTCTAACAGATCCGGCACGTCTCCGTTTACAATAACATCAATTATGTTGAAGGAAATGTGAGAAAAAAACTTTAACCAACTCAATGGATTGGAGAATCGTACTATTATAAGTATTGTTGTTATTACTTTTATTATATTTTCAGTCACTTGAGCACACTACATGCTGTATGGAATGGGAACATTCTCCACCAAAACCTGAGCAGGAGTGAGTGCATGTTAAAAATCAGATAACTCAGGTTCTGTGTAGGTGTAAATACTATAATTCTCACCTTTGGTGTTTTCCAAGTCAGTAGAGCCGAGGCAGTCTCTGGAGCCTCGGGAGATTCCCAGGTGTCTTTAGTTACACTATTTCAGTGTCAACTCTACTGAGTGCCGGAGGTAACACAAGGCTGAAGTCTAGAGATTTGTTGTGTAAGTGTTCAACACTCCCCCCCCCCAATTTAAGCAAGACGTTTAGATTTTCTAGGTGTTTTGCATTCCTTCAGTCACTATAAAAATGCCAGTGAATAGAATCATATAATATTATTTTCATACACCAAACTTTCATGTTTTTATTTAATCCGATGCTGTAACAGCAAAACCAAGGTGTTACCATGAATAATCAGGTCACTGGCTGAGATATTCATTTTCATTGCACCTGTTAGAATTTATCTAATTGTATTTTTGTTCTTTTTTATGGGGAAAAAAGAAAACTATCTAGTATTTAAACATCAATTCCAATGCTCTTTACTGGAGCAGCAGATATTGTTCAAACACGCAATTATATTAAAAATAATATAGATAAACAAAAATCATACAGCATAAACATACAGCACATTCAAATGGAAATGTGGATGTACAGAATCAATTTGCATTTTCTTTTTTTATTATACAGGGCAAAAGATTCACATTTAGATTTTCCATCTCTGTCCCTTATCTTCAATCAAATGATTACCATGTAGTATCGTCACTGATAACAAGCTACAAAAATAGCTACTGGAGCTTGTGGAAATTCAAAGATGGTGGTGTACAACACATCTGGCTCTATCCACAGGATAGGCTTAGCAGTTTTTGGCACCTGCAGGCTCAGTAAGCTGCTCTTCCAGAGCCAATGCTTCGTTGTATTTCTTTTCTCTTTGATAAAAAAAAAAAAGACTGAAAGAGATTTTTTCATTGGAGTTATTTGACACACATGCAGCTGTAAAATGAGACAATCACAAGTGACAAAAACAGTCCTGTCACAGACACAGTGACCAGAACTCTGCTGGTAGGTGGACTGTTCGTAACGTATCTGCCACCTCCTGCAGATGTTGTCATGGAAACACTCTTTTGGGGTTCTCTCTCTCTCTCTAGCTCTCTCTCATACAATGCAGCATTAGGATGTTAATGCTACGCTCAGCACACCACGGTTCAGGTTGCCATGTGACTCCCATGCTTACATAATGCTGGATTGAAGGGGAGAACCGCTTACAGTGAATCACAACTGTATGTTTTACAGTATATGTGTTAATTACAGGTGTTGTCAGTCCTGCATATCTCTTTATTAATCTATGCTGACACAGTTTGACTGATTAGAATCTATGTCAGTGAATACAGATGTGTTCATCCATTTTTAATGTAGTTAAACTTGTTTTACATAGAGTACTGCTAACTCAGTGATCCTTCTTTTAATACCAGCTTGTTATACCATATTTTCTTACCCTTTAAATATGCTTTATGTTATTTTAGGGAAAGAATAAACACATAATGTTTTAAGAAAGCAACACAACACTGCTCTAATTTGTGGGATGTTGAAATTCAGTGTAGTTATGTGAGAAAGCTGCTGATGTCTTCAGCACATTGCAGATTTCCCAGGATATCCCCAACCTTCTGGGGAGGGTATTAACATAAAAAGAAACTATCAGCAGGACGCTGGTGTATTAGGAACGGTCTCTGTATTCGATTTAACGCTGACGTCACCCAGGAGCGCTGAGCCCTGCGCCGCAGTCGGTCCTGAGATGAATGCACAATATTCAAATCTGGCCTACCTGGTTCTCTCACTCCACCCTGTGGGCTCTACGTGGCAGCACAATCGCGAGCAGGAACAGAAACTAAACACACGTGAACAGCCAAACAAGACCTGAACTAAACTGAATACATGAATGCAGTCTAGAAAGATCAGTCTCATACAAAGTGTCTGTGTGGGAGAGTCTGAGGAAAAGAACCATGAGAAGTCATGTGACTAATGCTTATCCAGCAGCTGGAGAAACCGTGGCTCCTGGAAAGCCAGTCAAAATAATCACTACTAATCATTACAGCTTTGAGTTTGCTAAATAGTTATTGATAAAAACTTAATTTCCGAACTAGAATTAATTATAGTTTTTTTAAAAGTCATAGTTTAGATGGTGGATAATGTAAGAAAGTGTGGTTTGCTTTTGATTTGGAACATCTAAGAAGCGCTTGCATATACTATACATTTGTGAGAGGTTTTCTGCTGAACAATTTTTTGTCTAGCCTCTACTTGAATTGCTTTGAACTTATTTTTAAAATATATTCCTTGTTTTAGACATTCCTTAACTCTGTCCTGTGCTGAACTATATAATATAATATCTCCTACTAACATGGAAACTGTAGACCAACCAATGTAGATCAGTAAAGCACATCAGACTAAGTCATACTTGAAAGTACTTCTGTTTCAGTCTGTGTAAGGATGAATGTGTTCCTTATATATGGAGATTATCGGATGTTACTCTTGATTTTTTTTTTTTTGTAAATTAATTTAGCATACATCGAATTGTGAGTGTATCTACATGATATAAAAAAGGCAGCAAGTCACCGTTACATGGAGACATTTTGCATCCCCCACTCTTTACTAGAAGACTTCAGGACCTCAGACAGCTCCTGTCGTATTTTCCCTAGTTCGCCAACAGGGGGCGCAGTAATCACGCCGTTGATTGAGGAGGAGAGCACGCCAAGCTGCCAAATGCAGCAACGTGAACACTTTCGACTATCTTCAGCTGTTTTTAATGGTTGTTTTAATGGTAGTTTGAGACTTTTTTTGTTCGAATTATTTTTTTTCTGCAGCCTTCCCTTCATCGGTCCGATTACACTTGCGCTTTGAGTCCAAGCTTTACGGCCAGGGAAGCGGACAGACACAGGAGCTCGTGGAGAGACTCGCACATGTCATGTGTGATGCTGCCCGGCGTTAAACCTCTGGGCAGCGTGGTGGTGGTGGGGGGGCTGGTGATGGAGGGGGGGCAGAATGATCCGAAAGCTGAACAAAAACACATAGTAGCTCCGAGAATCGCGCTCAATCCGGTCACATTTCAAACGGGAAGTCGGCCTATTAACGGGCATCGCGGACCCCCCCCCCCCCCTCCCCTCTTCCTCTCCTCCCCCTTCCTCCCACCCCCACGATCCTCAGCATCCGCGGCTCGCGTCTCTCTCTAATTGCATCGTGGTTCTGAGGGAGCGTGGTGCTGGACCGACGGGCTCCTGCTCTGTGTCCCCCCCCCCCATGTCGGTGTGAGGCTCTGGACAGATGTCTCTGCCCATCAGGAATCTCAAGTGTCTGTCGCCGGTCATGTGCCAGTGTAAGGTCATCTGCAGCAACCGGACGCTGTCTCTGATGTTCGGGTGCAAGGTAAGCAGACAGAGAAACAAGCGGGAGGGGGGAGAAGGCCCTTTTTTTGGGGGGGGGGGGGGTCGCTGCTTTGTTCGGTTCAGTTTCCAGTTTGGGTCTTACCGCCTTATAGCACCGATTAGCCCTATTGCTCGTTTGAACCGCGGTTCTACTCAGTTCAGGAATTAGCCGCCCACAGAGTCCACCCCCCCCCCCCCCCCCCCCCACCCCCCCCCCCTCCAGCCCATTTCGTTCAGGTACCGTCTGATTTAGAATGTATTTAACTTTACAATCCGTAGTGGAGTGTTCCTGCTCAGAAATGGCTGATTTCCATTTAAAAGCAGCGGGGTTCTTGCATGGCTGTGTTCATTGGGAGAGAATCATTACTATTCATGTTGAGCACAACTGACATGGGTTTCTCCTCATTTGGTCCCAGCAGAACTGAAAAAAATAAAGAAATGAACGTGAAAAGAAAAACAAAACACGTTTGCGTTTTCATTTGAAACCAAGCAGATCAAACTGCACGCTATGGTTTTGACCTTGGGGACAAGCACTTTATTGTTCAGGGCCACTTTCATATCGTTCATCACCCCAGTAAACACACTCCGCTTCATCCGCTTTTGAAATGAGGGGACGTGAACTGTATCAGCTGAGGCAGAACCAAGCTGCCAGCTGCTTATCTGCAATTAAAAAAAATAAAAAAAAGATCACATGAAACAGGATTTGATGTTAAACTGTGTGTTGTGGGTTTGATCGGGGTGGGTTGTGATGACATCGGGCATAACGGCGCATCCATTCATCCTCCGTTTGTCCACCTCCTCGCTGCTTTGCCTCCCTCCCCCTCGGCTCCAGGTGATTCCACCGTGGCAGCCTGTTCAGAGTTTCCCTCCACATGGCACGCGAGTCTATTTGCGCTCCGAAGCCAAATCTGATCACAGTGGTCATCTCTGGCAAGCGGTCATCCTACCGGCTGCCAGAATGATGCATACAGTACATGTGTACGGGTCTCCGGATCATTTGTTGGTGGATTCAGCCCCAACATTTTGTCCTGGGTCCAGTTTTGTTGCTACAGCCTGCTTCCCGTCCCTTTTTTATTACTTATGTATTAGAAGTGAAACAGCTGGGTGCTTCTGCGACGTGTTTCTGTGTTTGAAAAGAAATGACTAGTAAAGTTGGAGCGGGTGTTTGCTTTCGTACGTTGCTGAGAGGGTGGTCCCGCTGTGCCGGGTATTCAGTGTTGGAGCAGAGATTGTTCAATTCGTCCACCACGCTCCACTTCCTCCTGCCTCCCGCCTTGCTTCTGGATTTCAGTCTTCATTGTGGAAAACGCATCAGAATTCTCCTCTCGCGAATTCAAGCTGCTTCTAAAGTCATCATGACCTACCACCGAAACATAACCCCGCAAAAAAAACAACCAAAAAAGAAATTCTGTAGGAGCAGTTGTCAAAGGAACGGCTGCTCGCCTCATCCAGCATCCGTACCGGTCTGCGATGTTAGTTATGATCAAGAAACTCAAGATTAGACTCTGCATTGTTCTCTCATTTCCACACAGCTTCATGTGGCCCTGACGGCTTCCGTTCGGGCGTTTGCAGCCTTATGGGAAGCCGATGTAGGTAGTATTTAATTTCGGTCCGTGGGATGAGCGGTGCATTCCAACAATGCACGTTTAAGGCTGCTCTATTGTTCGCCCCTGGCTCTCCATACATCACGGGCCTCTTCCTCGCGGCCTTATTATTCTCTAGATGATTGCGCCTGCTGAACTATTATGTTGTGAGAGCTGCAGCACGCCTGCTTATTTCCCCAGGTGATCGTCCGAGATATCGTATTTGCATAACCTTTGTTGTTAAAGGAAGCCCAGCACAATTCCACGTGGTCATTTTCAAACTCCAGATCTTAATTAAGGAAGGTCCTGATGTGTTTGTAAGCCTTGGTCGGTGCTTTAATGTGCGCTGGATGCATAATGCCCATCGACGGCCGCATGGCGTTTAATCAAAACAGCCTGCCTTGCTGGAGTTTGTCTTTGGGCTACGATTTAGAGCAGTCCGAACACTTAGGGCCGCGCGGCGCAGAGCAGTGTCCAAAGGAACATATTCGTGTACCGATTGATTTACGTCTCATAGATCAGCGTGTCTTCATCTCAGTATCAAGATCGGCAATCGCCTCATCCCGAGAATCATTTCTCTGATGTCTTAACTTAAAAAAATCACCCCGCGGTCAGTCATTACCAGCTGGCCAATCGGATTGTCAAGAATACCAAGTATCAGAGGGCTCTAACACATAGGAGGTCAGTGCTTGTATTCCTTTGTTTACTGGGGGCTCTGGTTTCAGTTTTATGCTCTGAAGCACACAAACAAATCTACATGTGCGGTGATGGATTTGAGCTACGTCACCGCGCATCTTCTGAAACCTCTGCTTTGACATCACGTTTGGGGAAATGCAGCAAAAACCACTTGAAGCAGTCGATAGTCACCCGCTCGGATTTCTTTTCCACTGCGTTTTTGCACCGAGATGCTCAGGATTCATCGTCACTCACATGACGACACACATTAAAACAATGTTCCCTAAAGTATCCACCAAGCAAGATATGTGGATACTATAAGCTATAACTGGCTATGGCCCATAACTCTGGTGGCACTGTGGAACCGATCATACGGATGCTTCTACAGGAAACACATTCTGCTTTATGTAAAGACCTCCATTGCTCACTACTGCCATCCCAGTCCTTTGCAAATGTCAAAGCCGTCAGAATTAGGTCTCCTACAACTCTTTGTTACAGTTGGCGTTCAGGACTGTTAATGTCCGATAGTCTTTTTTTTGTCAGATGCAGAGTGGAGCCGGATATATCTGAAGCCCCCTCACGAGGCGCTGGCATACAGATATGCATTATCAGCCTCTAAAATGGAATCGATTCTCAGCTTCAGTCAAGTGCAAACAGAGTCACAGTTACTTACCCTCCAGGTCTTGGTTGTTTACAAGAAGGAAAACGCATAAATAAGCTCTAAGTCAGCTTGCCTCTCCATAAGTCAAACACCAGTGTCAGCTATAAAATATGCAAAAATTAATTTACAATTGGAACTTGATCTGATTCCACTGTAACGCCGCGGAGAATTCTGATTCACCTTTTAATTGCAGGGCAGTCTAATTGGAGGATGAGGTTTGCTTAAAGTGCTGGCTGTAACCCTCACCCCTCTACATCTGGAAGGCTGTGTTAGCAAGCAAGGCTGACGATCATTTGATACGATGGCATGCCCACTGCTGCCTTTACTGCCCGTTTGTTTCTCTGAAGCCATTAAGCGTTCTGGTTGGACAAAAAAATGGCTTCAGCTTGCTTGTTTGTGCTTGGGAATAAAAGCAGAAGACGGGTGAGGATTAATAATACAATCCCCCACGCATTCCATGTGCAACATACATAAAAATGTATGTACTCAGCATAAAAAATGGTGTGTGCACGCTTCAGAGGACAGAGGGGGGAGGGGACGAAATGATCCCGGCTACTGGGGGCTTCTTCGGCTGAGGTTGCACCTGAACTGCAAATCCTCTCATTCCTTCTCCTGCTCCTTCACTCATTTACATTTTCTAGCAGACCTTTTTGGGGTTTTGACATTTGGCAGTTTTCCAAAGCACATTATGAAGCAAAGCCTTCAATCAGGCTTCGTCTTCAGCCTAACAAACCCATTTACGCGTGGCGGCGTTTGAAAGCTGTCAGTGATCTTCACATTATTTTTGCTTCATGCCAGAAATAACCGTAAAAAGCTGGTCAGCTTCAGGCTCAGAGGGTACGGCTCTCTCACGCCGGCTGATCCCACCACAGATGGGAGTTTAGCATCTTTTCCTCGTGCTTAACTAGCTTCGTGTTTATTTTGTATCTTTTTTAAATTTATGTGATAGCCTATTTCACATGATTTGGCATCGCTTTGGCCTTTCTTGAAACAGAAATAAGTAAAAAAGTCATAAGAAAAAGAGACAAACAGACATGGTGGAAACTGTCCCTCTCCCGTACAACCCCTTTGCAAAAGAACAACACCCCCTAAGTCACCATTTACTGTATCTATGACTCTAATCTGGTTATTAAATTTGAGGATGATGCATCTGTGTGGGTCTCTTATCGTTGATGACTCACCCCACGGAAAGCGGATTCGGAATGTCATTAAGATAAGATGTACATAAATTAACAAATGGCTATCTAAGCTTGAAATGTAAGGATTACATAAAACAGGGATGAGCATCTGTACACTGAGGAGACGGAGGAAAAGTTGTATTGTTTTTATTTATTTATTTTTTAAATAAAACACTATTTCAAGAATTGTTTATTTTTATAGACAACCTAGGATACTAATGAGATTCCGAAAATATGCCACTCTAAGTCTTTATTTTGGGGTGTTTTATTTTTGTTTTGTTGTTGTTTATACAGTAGCTCCATCAATTTCTGGTGAAATGCAGCCAGAAGAACAAACACCCTCACCATGCAGCCCAGGCGACTTTTTTGGATACTTGCACCCACATTTTTCACAAAAATGACCTTTTTTTTCCTTTAAAAAAAAAGAAAAGGATGCATTCTTTGTTGATATCTTTCAAATTCCATAGCCT